CTTAAGAACTGAGCCACCCAGGCGCCCCTCTTAATCTTTGATCTCAGTTTTTTTTACAACTAGTTAAGCTATTACAGGAGCATCAATTTGAAAATAAGAAGCTTACTATCTTACTTATTCAAAAGGCCAATGAGCTCCTTGTTGTTAAATTCAATGAAAAAATCTTTTAGCTCTTGGGGCATCTGGGTGGCTCAATCGGTTAAGCATCCCGACTCTTGATTTCGGCTAAGGTGGTGATCTCAGGGCGGTGAGACTGAGCCCCTTGTTGGGCTCTGTGCTGGGCATGGAGCCTGCTTAAGATTCTCTCTCTCCCTCTCCCCCTCTTCCTCCCCCCAGCTCTAAAAAAAAAAGAAAAATCTTGGGATGCCTGGGTGGCTCAGTCAGTTAAGCGTCTGCCTTTGGCTCAGGTCATGATCCTAAGGTCCTGGCACTGAGTCCCAAGTCGGGCTCCCTGCTCAGCGGGGAGCCTGCGTCTCCCTCTCCTCCCCACTTGTGCTGTTGCTCTCTCTCTCAAATAAATAAAACTTAAAAAAAAATCTTACAGCTTTTACATTACTCAACTCTCATCAATACTTGACCCTACTTATTACTCTCCCCTTGAAATACTCTCTTCCTTTGGTTTCTCTAATACCACACTCAACTCCTACTTCTCTGACCTTCACAGTATTCTTTGGGAGCTTACATTCCTCCAGCAAACTTTTTTTTTTTATGTTAGAGGCCACTGTGATTCCCTTCAAGTTATATTCCCTCCCTTAGGCAATTCCACCTTAGTTTCGACTATCTATGTAAGTGACTCCAATTTTCTATTTCCAGCCCATACCTCTCCTCTGAAATTTAGAACCCTATTATCTAATTTCCATCTGAAAGTTCCAAAGGTATCTTAAATGCAATATGCCAGAATCAAAAGAACCTTGGTCCTTCTGTGGTATCACCATCAACCTAGCTGTTTCCCTGAGTTGATGGTTGAAATTTCTATGTCCCTCACTTTCCATCCATCAACAAAGGCCTGGTGATCTCAAATCCCATTTACTTTTGCCCACCTCCACAATGCTCATCCTAATTCAAGCTATCCTCATCTCTTCTGGACTACTACTGCAAGAGTCTTAACTAATTTCCCTATACCCACTCTTGCTGCTTCTCCCTTTCAATACCCACTACCACAATCATAATTCTGCTTTCTGGAACTACCAAAAATAAGTATAATTTGGCTTCTAAATGACAACTGTCTTACTTTTAAACAGTAAGACAGTTATACCACTTTACCCTTAGCTAAGTATTCTTAGTTCTGTCTATATCCTGATACATCAGTTTCAAGATCACATTCTATCATACTCTCCTTTGAAAATGTCCCCTGAACTGAATATAAAGCATGGATAATAAGTAACTTAGCAGTTCATGCAAAAGACTGAGACTAGCACAGTTTAAAGTTTCAAACCACAATTAATATTTTAAATGTTTTAATGTTTCTAGCTGAAAGCAGGTTAATCTATTAAGTATTAAATATAAGCACCTACCATGTATCAGGCATTATTCAGGTATTTGGGGACAAAAAAATGACGCAAACTGACAAACCCTGTTCTCACAGAGATTCATTAAAGAAGAAAGACTATTAACTTAAGATAGTAATTTATACAATATGTTAGAAAATGATAAAACGCAGGCGCCTGGGTGGCTCCGATGGTTGAGCGTCTGCCTTCGGCTCAGGTCATGATCTCAGGGTCCTGGGATCGAGTCCCGCATCGGGCTCCCTGCTCCTTGGGAGCCGGCTTCTCTCTCTGCCTCTCTCTCTCTCGTGAATAAATAAATAAAAATCTTAAAAAAAAAAAAAAAGATAAAACGCTATGGAGAAAATGTGGCTTAAAAAGTGGTAGGAAATGTGGGAGGAAGGTCTGCTATTTTATACAGAGTAGTCAGAGAAAACTTCAGTAGCAGAGTAGAAGTTGGTTGAACAGAGTAAGATAATCAAGTCAGAGAGGAAGAAGAGACTTAAAACACTCAGAGCCTGGTAAACGATAGACTTGGATTTTACTGACTGAGAACGGAAGCCATTTGAGAAGAGAAGTGACATGGTTTGACAAATTTCATCAGGATCACTCTGGCAGTTGAGTGTTAAAAACCATATAGGTAAGCAAAGGCCATAGTGAGACTTTTTAGGAAACTATTTTGCAAGTGAGAGATGATGGTACTGTTTTTACATTTTATAGTAAAACTTTATGTGCCTAAGTACTAGAATTAACAAAGCCACAACTTTAAAAAAAAGACAACAATGACAATGCAAAGATGAGTCCTGGGAATACTAAGAGAATACCAGGTATTTTAACTCTGAGCTCTACTGAGTGCTACTACCAGTTAGTACAATTCAGATGCAAGATAAGGTGCAAAGCTACTAATTTATTCTTTTGGACAAAAGGTATAACTAAGAATTTAGGTTTTAAGCTTCTTTATTTCACTGGGTAAGGTAAGTCAAGATCCAATGTACGTGACTAAAAGGCAAAGGTGGATGATGGCAGAGCTTGCTAAAGGGAAGTTACAATGAAAATTATTCTAAGGCTGACTCTTTTTATTACCTCTACATCTGCCACTCTCTTTGGTTAGATTTTACAACCATTTCTCACTGCCGTACCTAAAAAGTTCAGTATAAAGTCGATGAGTAGTAAATACTGTACTCTCCTACTATTAGAACACGCTACTGATGGCGAGTCAACATCAGTCAACTGCACTGTTTCCTCCTATCCCTAATTAACAGCACAGCTTTTCAGGAAAATTGCCTAAGCCAGGCTAGTGCCCAAAAAATAATGAGGAAGCTGGGTGATCCCTGACGAGTTTCAATCTTAACTCATGGACCCCACTACCACCACCTAAAGACATACCCAAAAAAATCACTCTTAAAATTTTCTCCATTACACATTTCAGGAGGGCAGCATATTTATGAACAATTTTCTATTTTCCTATCCAGTTTTATTCCCCCTTGACTTACTGAAGAATGCTTTCAGAGTGTGAGTACACCAGGAGTAAGCAAACATCCAAATCTTACCCTACCAAAATCTTAAAATGTACTCAAAATCTTTATTTTAATGTACTCAAATTCTCGGGCAAAAAGGTCATCATCTGAATGTAAAACTGAATTACTATTAATATACTTGCAAGCACCAAAAAATGTAATGAAAAAGTGCAGCTACAGTAAGAGTAATTTTAAAAACTCATACTGCATAAAGTAAATTTAGATTATCTTTAAGAGTATAAAACAAAATAAATCCAAAGACAATTTCAAATTTTCATCTGCCCAATAAATTAAAGCAACAAAAATAAAAATCCCACAAACTTTTTACTGTAGCTCTTAACCAACAGCAAAAAAAGTGGGACGATTAAGCCAACAGCCAAAGAAACAGGAAAGAGAAAGCAATGGTCTAGAAAGAGATTTGATTCTTATCAAAATTTTTAATACAGTTACCAATAAAACACAAAAACTACCAGTTATTTAATAACGTTTTGCCTTCAATATTCTGCTGAAGTAAGCAGTCATATGCTCGAATTAATTTTTAAAATGAAAAATGCATCTATTAATATGCTTTTTCCGAAATTCGGTCAAAATTCCGAAACTGGAAAATTTAAGATCAGCGTCCAATAGCCAAACATTAAAAACTTTGGGATCAGTTCTGCTTAAAAATCTTAGGTCACTGGCAGTATGATAAAGATGTTAGAAGCAATCCAAAATTAATGATAATCGCTCAACTCGTAGACGCTGTAAGAAGTCCCCTACAGAAACATGTCGGGGGTATTTTACAATTCCACATCTGAATCTGTGAGTATTTTAGTCAACTACTTAAACCGGGCATTTACTTTTAAAACAATTCTTCCAGAACATGTGTGGACAGCAAGACGGCCAGCGATCTCTAAGAAATGTCTGTAATGGTTCAAAATTCCTAGGTGTGAGGAGGCGCGACTCATTAAGCTAAGTTTAGATCCGGCCCTTTTGTTGTCAGCCCAGGAAACGGGTTTAAAAACGGGGGGTGGGAGAGAGTTTGAAATCAGGACGAGGTAAACGCTGATGCCTAGCAGCGCCGGCTCTTCCCTATTCGCGCACCGAGAGGTCACGGCGTAGTAAAGTTTGGTTTCACGAGCGGGCTTGGACACTATTGACAAAAGCAAAGTCTACTAAGTAAAGCGAACTCGGGGGTCGGCGAGCGCCCGGAAGCCCAGCAAGACACGTTTCCACCGCAGGGAGGGGGTGTATGTGTGCCGACTCGGTCGCGGAGCCTCTTGCCTCAACCCGCCCCCCCCACCCGGACCCCGAGCCCAGGCGGCGACAGGCTCCGCCGGCAGAAGCGGCGGGAGCCGGGTAGGCCACAAGGAGGAAATGGGACGGGGTGTCGGCAGAGAGGCGGCGGCGGCCGGAGCGGGGCCTCCCTCGCGGGGTGGCGAGAAGGAAGAGGGGCCCGCCCCGCCGCAGCGTCCCCCGCCTGGAGAGGCAGCTCCAACTTTCCTCCCAGCGCAGGACGCCGTCTGGGCCGCGCGCGATTCCGAAACTTTGTCCGCCCTCCCGTCGCCCCCGGCCGGCTCCTCCGCTCCGCGCCAGCCCGTAACAGCCCCCACTTCGCCCCGACAGCTGCCGGAGTCCATCCGCCCCGGGGTCGGCCCGTGTTTACCTCAGGCCGAGGTCGAGGCGCTTGCTCCAGCGGCGGCGGCACCACTGCCGGTCCCTAGGTCCCCGTCACGACGCCAAGTTCCCCAACATGGACTCCTTAGTCCGCTTTGAGTTGTTCCGGAGGTCGCTAGGGCGCCGGCTCTACCCGCCGAGTCGGGAGGTGGCGGCGCAGCAGAGAGCGGACCCGGGCTGCGCTGCTCCGCGCGACTTGCGCCACCGCTCCTCCCCCTCCCCCCGCCTTGTCTGGCCTCCTCCCTCCCCTCGCGTGCCCTCCCCTCTCTCCCCCTCCGCTCCGCTCAGCCGCGCCGCCACATGTCGGCGCGCTACGGTGACGACGGCGGCGCGGGCGGCGGAATCCGCCGCACTCTCCCTACTCGCTTGCTGGGCCCTGCGCGCACCGCTGCAACGCTCAACCGGACCACGGGGGGGCGCTGGCAAACCACCCTTAGCGACCTAGGAACGTGGCGGGCGGAGTGACGTCACGCGGCCTGTGAGCGGGAGGGAGAACGGCAGCGGGCTTCTGGGAAACGTCTTCCGCGGGCTGTCACCCTCCCACCCTGCGGACTGTGCGCAGGCGCCGTGCGTGAGGCGCTCGAGTTGGCGCTACGCTGGCCGAGGAGCCGCTTAGCTGCCGCGGACAATGGAGGAGGCCTTTGGGGACCTGGACGTGAGGTGGTCTGCGTGGCCTTTGCTACACTATCTTTATGGTAATCCGATATTGAAGAGCGTTCTTAGGCTGTTTGGCGGTGGGTTGAGTTTTCACCCGGCACCCACCGTTGCCCAGCTGAAATACACCTTACCGGCAGGTTGAAGTGTCCTTAACTTGAAAGCCCACCGCTTTCTTTTGTCCTGGCGGCATTTAAAACATGCTTAGGGGAGAGGTTTCCCCTGTGGTACATCGAGTCTACGCATTTCCCCATGTCTTAATTCCCACAGCAAAAAAATTAAACTTGATTATGATTAACTTAGAGGACTTCCACTCTGTGGTCAGGCAGCGGCGTGATTTTTCGATAATTTGTCGGGACCTGCGACGTGGAGCCTCTGTGCCTTGTTTATTCCCCGTCGGGTCGTTAGATCTTTTGTTTTACTTGAGAAACACCTTCACAGGCTGCTTTTTCAAAGTCACCGCCTCTTCGACCTCACAGTTTCTCTTCCGGACAATTTCGGCACGCTCCTGACTGCTCCTCCCCCTCTTCTTCCAGGTGGTCCTTTCAGCCCCCCGCGCACCCCGGGGTCCTGCTGACAGCCCCGCGGGAGGAAGCTCAGGCCCCGGGCCGCCCCGGGCCGCCCCGCCGACGCGGCTTACCCCAGGTCTCAGGCTCAGCCAGCCGTGCGGCTCGCACCTTTCCCTGCCGCCTGCCCCATCCCCCTTCTGTGCACGCTGCGCCCCCCTAACCACGACTTGCCCAGAATGACTCTCCTCCCCACGTCCTCGAGACCCCGCCGGCAGGCCACCTCTGTGCCGCCCGCGCCCAGACTGGGCTGGTTGCCATGCCCCCTGCTCCCCGGACTGTGAGGTCGCTTCTATGGCACCCTCATCCTGTGCGTGCAGTCTGGTCCGCTCCGTGTCCGCCTCACACTGTGAGCTCTGGGACAGTGTCTCCCAACAGCTCCTGGCACAGTGCCTGTCACTCAGTGAGAACTTGGTCAATAATTGCTGGAGGAATATATGAATGGCAGCCTTGTCCCGATCTCAAAGTCTTTGGAGTTTTACAACGTATAGTTTTTGATACGAGGTTTGGGGATTTAGATGGGCTTTTCTGTGTTTGGAAAGTTTGAAGGAATGATGATCTAGAGGAGTTAAAATGGTTTTTTTCTAGTGGAAGAACAAAAATTTTTATGGACGGCCTTTCCCTGTCACTATCAGAGCAAACAGAATTCCGTAAAATAACCAGGTCAACAAGCACGATGATGAGCCATCCAACAGAATAAGGGTGTAGCTTTTTCATGTATACATGCACATCTTCACCCTAGAGAACGCGACCTCTGGGAATGTAATTTCAGGTGGAGACTAATGGGGCAACATTCTTCTGTGGATATTTTACATGATAATCTTTATTTATTTCTTAAGAAAGTATGACTTCTTAAATTTTAATTAAAGGTCAAATGACAATATCTGCCAATAGAAAACTATAATTTAAAAAAAGGCAATAACAGTATACCATTTCAGCAAAACTAAACGATATAAATCCTTTTTTTCCCCTGGGGCCATTTCCCCTTTATCATTTTATTTTATTTTGTTTTCATCATGATAAATGTAGTCTTTAATCCCTACCCACCTCCCCTTTGGTAACAATCAGTTCTCTATAATTAAGAGTCTGTTTCTTGGTTTGTCTCTCTTTTATTTTCTCTCTGCTCTTTTGTTAAATGCCACATATGAGTGAGATCATATGTTATTTGTCTTTCTCTGACTTATTTCACTTAGTTTTATACTCTCTAGCTCTATTCATGTTGCAAATGGCAAAATTTCATTCTTTTTATGGCTAGATAATATTCCATTGTATATATGGACCACGTTTTCTTTATCCATTCATCTGTCGATGGACACTTGGGTTGCTTCCATAGTCTGGCTATTGTAAATAATGCTGCAGTAAACATAAGGGTGCATGTATTCCTTTGAATTAGTGTTTTTATATTTTTTGGGTGAATACCCAGTAGTGTGATTACTGGATCATAGGGTAATTCTATTTTTAATTTTTTGAGGAACCCCTATACTGAACAATAAGAATTTTTGGATATATTTATTCTCTGGCAGATAATTAATTTTCCACTAGGTATTATGTGAGAATATTTTAGGAGAAAAATGCTTTTGATGCTAATGTACTTGTAGTTTCTACTTTCATGTGGTTTGTAATAGGCCATCTCTTGCCTCCCCAGGGAAAAGACTGTGTATTTCTGTACCTGCAGCATCCTCCTAGTTAATGCTTGCATGTGAGGATTTGTTACTCTTTCTGTGGTTTCAGTATTTTTTATTTACAATGTAATAAAGAGATACAGAGGTTTAAATGATGAACTATAAAATGCAGGAGTAAAGATTGATATATCAACCATCACTGTCAACATTTAAGATTTGATTATAACCATAAATAACACAAATGATACGCATCATAAAGCAACCTTCAACTGAATGCCCAATTGGCTTATTGTACTTTACCCAGCACTTAAACTATCAGACATGTCACACAGCAACAGAAACCCATACTGGCATCTTTAAAAAAAAAAAAAAAAAGAAGGGTAAACAGTATGTTGATTTTGAGAAAGCTTTACCAGAGATAACTGCTATTATTAATTTAACTACTATAAGTTGAATACAAAATAACATTGAAATTAAGAGGTGGAATCACTGTGTAAAGGCACTCAATTGAGTTGGAAATATGACTCTCATATGGATGATACCCTTGCAGTTTTGAACAAATTGCCTAATTTTTCTGGTCCTCAGTTTTCATATCCATTACAGTGGAAAATTGTATTTTAATGATCTCTGTGACATTTTTATAACAGGAGTGTATGAATTCCACGGGTGTACAGTTTAAGACTCTTACAAGCAAAATATGACCAAATATATAGTATCTTGGTAAGGAATGAAAAATACATGCTATAGGGAAAAGTTAGTTTACAGGAATTTAAAAAAAAAATGCTGGTTTCTCTCTGTTTTCACAACTGTGCAGAATTTTAATCAAGATGATACTGATTATTACCCAATCATTTTCTATGTGGAATTAAATTTACTTCAGCACCAATCAGTTGGGTGTCTACTATTTGGGAGGTGCTGTGAGATGGTTATAGATGAATGAACAGAGTCTCAGAGACAGTTTAGTGGGTACAGATAAGTACAAAAACAAACTAAGGAAGAATATAAGTGTCATAAAAGGAATAAAAGCAAAAGTGCTGGTTGGGAAAGGGGGTGTCAAATGAGGGAGAGAATACAAAAAGGACCAAGGACAATTTCATAAAAGGACAAATCTGAACAAAATATATTCAGATATTATTCCATATTAAAAGTCCAGTTTCTCTAAGGTTGGTTTCCCATCCCCCACAGCACCTCTTACCATTTTTTTTTTACCACTCCCCTCAAGTCTCAACCTCACAATTACTCCTGCAGAGCCCCTCAACCCTGACCCAGCAAAAGATCTCGCCACAGTCTTTAACTTTCTTACCTTCTTTCCCTATACCTGCAGTCTATCTATAACTGTCTATATCCACACACACTTGTTGTCCTCTACCACAGAGGAAACACCTCTTGCTTAATGCTTACTTAGCTCTTTCTACTTGTGCTGTAGATCTGTTTTTTCCGGACTTCGGGATTTACAAACCATTAGCATTTCTAACAGTTTAGGAACTGACATAGGTAGGGCTGCTAACTTTTTCTTTTTTTTAAGATTTTATTTATTTATTTGAGAGAGAGAGAGAGATAGACAGCGAGAGAGGGAACACAAGTAGGAGGATTGGGAGAGGGAGAAGCAGGCTCCCCGCTAAGCAGGGAGGCCGATGTGGGACTTGATCCCAAGACCCTGGGATCATGACCTGAGCCAAAGGCAGACGCTTAACGACTGAGCCATCTAGGCGCCTGGGCTGCTAACTTTTTAATCTTGACAAATAATGGTATACATTTTTAAAGTCTTCCCATCTCTTATAACCCTCAATTCCTTTTAAAAAAATGCACTTACAACATTAAAGAACTAAATTTTTATGAACTATGCTGTTTATTTGCATTTCCCTCTGGAACAGTGAAGCCATCGCAGCCCTGGTACTTTCGGGACTCTGCTCTGAAATGGATCCTCTCTATTCCCTCAGGGCCCACCTATGGGTTACTCTGTCTCCAATATTTTCAATCTCTGCTTTACTGGGGATTAATTTATCTTTCTTCTCTCCAAATCTAAAAATAGTTTATATCTAAGACTACTTCCTCATTTCACTTTCTTCTCACTTGTTTAAAAGGTAATAAACATTCATTTTAACAATTCAGACAACACAGAAGTATAACAAAGTATATTTCAGAAGCAAATAAAGAAAAAGATAGTTTTCCTCTCCCTATCCCAATCCTAGAAAAAATCAAGGCTGAAAGGTTAATGTTTCCCTCCATACTTTTTCCAATGGTTATAGAAACACATATTAATAGAAATTTTGATTTTTACAAATAATGAATTACACCATGTATATTTTTCTGAACTTTTTCTTATTGAGGTTTATAATGGATACTCTTATCTAGCTCATTCTTTTAACTAGCTGCACAATATACTATTAATGTACCATAATTTTTAAGCCATTCCTTTATTGATAGATAATAAAGATTTGTCCAGATTTTGTGCCATTATAAACATTGCTAGAATGAATGTCCTTATACATGTATCTTTTTAAAATTGTGCAGTGTCTTTCTATAGATGCAAATCCTTAAAGTGAGATTATTGGGACAAAAGATATGTGCACATTTTGATAGATACTGCCTGGAGAGAATATATATGGATTTTTTTTTTTTTTTCTTGTTTGTTTTGACATCCAGCATCCATCTCTTTTTCTGGTAACAGCACCTCATTTTCTTTAGAAGAATTAGTCCTCCTCTATTAACCTTTGGAGTTACAAATGGTATTGACTCCTCCATTGGCTTCTACAATTGATCAATGAGAGTACAATATCACAGAGTTATAATATTCTATAGTTCAGGGATGGACACATGACTCAACTCAGGGCAGTAAGAATTAGATCAAGG